ACTTACAATACAGAGTTCACTTCTGTACAAGCAAATCCTGCCATTTGTGAACCTGGAGGACATTATGCTAAATGAAATAAGGCAGATACAGAAAGACAAATACTTCATTATCTCACTTACATATGGAGTCTAAGAAAGTAGAACTCCTGAAAGAAGAGAGTAGAACAGTCATTACTAGGGGCTGGGAGGTGAGAGAAACAGGAACATGTTGGTCAAAGGGTATAAACTTACACTTATAGAGGATATGTAAATTCTGGAGATATAAAGTGCAGCATGATGATACTATATTGTGTACCTGACATTTGCTAAGAGAATAAATCTTGTGTTCTCACAACACACATGCATGTTCAAGCTCACACATGGTAATCATGTGAGGTGATGAATGTGTTAATTAGTTTGATTGTGGAGATCATTTCATAATTTATAAGTACATCAAAACATCACATTGCACTCCTTAAATATACACATTTTTTACCAAAAATTATACCACAATAAAGCTGGGGAAAAAGGAAGTTTACTTTTTATTTATTTTATTTTATTAAAAATTTTTTTTAATGTTTATTTATTTTTGAGAGAGAGACAAAGTGTGAGCAGGGGAGGGGCAGAGAGAGAGAGGGAGACGTAAAATCTGAAGCAGGCTCCAGGCTCTGAGCTGTCAGCATAGAGCCCGACGTGGGGCCCAAACCCACGGACCATGAGATCATGACCTGAGCTGAAGTTGGATGCTTAACCGACTGTGCCACCTAAACACCCAGAAGTTTACTTTTTAAAAAAATTTTTAATGTTTATTCATTTTTCAGAGACAGAGAGAGTCAGAGTGAGTGGGGAAGAGGCAGAGAGAGAAGGAGACACAGAATCAGAAGCAGGCTCCAGGCTCTGAGCTATCAGCACAGAGCCTAATGCAGGGCTTGAACTCGTGAACTGGGAGATCATGACCTGAGCAGAAGTTGGACGCTCAACTGACTGAGCCACCCCAGCATCCTGGAAATTTACCTTTGTGATGAGTGCTTGTTATTTCAAGAAAGCTCTGTTAGGGGCGCCTGGGTGGCTTAGTCGGTTAAGCGTCCGACTTTCGTTTGGTCATGATCTCGTGGTTCGTGGGTTTGAGCCCCGCATTGGGCTCTGTACTGACTGCCAGCTCAGAGCCTGGAGCCTGTTTCAGTCTGTGACACCCTCTCTCTCTGACCCTCCCCTGCTCACGCTGTCTCTCTCTCTCTCTCCTAGAAATAAATAAAACATTTAAAAAAAAAAAAAAAGAAAGCTCTGTTAGTAACTGAGTTAGTTTGGACAACTGTTGTACGAAGAAGCCAGGCAAGGCCTTCAGTGGGACTGCCTTTAGGCTGTGCAGAGCAGGGACAGGCCTGGGACAGGATGGAATGGAGGTGAGCCTTCCCTGCATTCTCTGGAGACTTTCTCCTAGGCTCTTTGCCTCAGCACCACCACATTGTCTGGGTTATAACTCCCTTTGGTAACCTTTCCCTTCAAGAGTGGCTGGGGGTGTGGCAGCTTAGGAAAGTCTCAGCTGCTGCTTAAAGCACCACAGACAATTAATGGGTAGCTCCAGCTGGTGTCTTGAAAGACAGACTGAAACCTTACACCATTTTTCTTACGATTGAATTGATTTTGGCATCCATTTCTGGAGTTACTTTAGTTTTTAAGAAAATGTTCATCTGCGATGTCACGGACCACTTGGGCACACCAGAAGGTTGTATAATGCAGGTCGGGGACCAGGGACCCGCTCCAGAGCCTGCTACAGTGGGAAGGCTAGCTTCTGAGAAGCCCATCTACGGACACCATCTCGCACCCTGAGAGAGTTTCCCAATGAGTATACGTCTTCTCTAAGCAAACACAAGGAGCCCCTGGCCCACCCTGAAATTAAAGGGACGAGGGAGATGTCTTCTGCTCTGATCATGAATCTTTAGGCAGTACAAAGATTATGCAGGTGGTCAACGAAAAACGAACTCTGAGTGCATTTGACAGTACTGTCTTACATCTTCTACCTTCACCTCTTTGCTTCATTTCAGGCTCCACTTCTTTAAACTCTAGCTTCCAACCATCTTTGCTTTTCTAGTCTTGACTTGTAGGACTCCCTTAGATATGGCTTATATTCATTGTCTTTTTCTTCCTATCTTTTGTTGCTATAGATAACATCTGGCCACGTGCCATCCGCAACAGGCTCCTCTGCACATTGGTTTGCTTTGCCACAGTGAGTTGTAGGGCCAGCTCAGGCCAGGAGAAGTTTTTGCAGGTTGAGGAGGTGATGATGGTGAACCTTAAGGAATGCCACCAGCACTCCCTGATCTTTCCTGAAATGGGAGACTGAGCAGCTCCCACTCAAGAGATTCGAGAGCAGCAGGCTACCAGGAAGACCAGAGTTCAATTAAGGCATATGGTGCCAGGGTATTTTGCAAGGACTCTGATGATACAGACTAGTCTGTCTAGGATATCATGGAGTATCAGGAAGGCATGGAGGAGGATCTTGATGATCAGCACTGGGAGGAAGCACAGTGAGCATGGACAGAAAGGTAGAGATGGGAGCTGATGATCAAAGTCTTGCATTTGGGGTAGACAGTGGATGACAACAGGATGAAAGGCTTGGCAGGACTGGCTGGTACAGGTGGAGGTGTCAGATAATACCAAGGCCTTGAAGAAGCCAATGGCCCTGGTGAAGTTACCTTCAGCAGGGGGCTACATAATCCTGGAGGCCTTAGTCTTCAAGGGTCGGGACTGGAGAAATAAGGCAAGACCAACTTTTTAAGAGGTTTTTGCTCAAGTGATTGGGAGAGGGTGTTGGACATCCCTCAGGGCACTGATCTTGTAATAGGCCGATCTGCACTATGTACAGCCCAATGAGCAATTCTCCTCCATTGCACTGTAGAAAAGAGGAAGAGAAACAATTTTGAAAAGGCCAACAACAAGAGGAATTTTCCTCCTACACATCTACAAGGTAAAAAATGCCTTCATCTAAGAGATGCAATATTTCACCTCTAGGTCATTTAGCTCTTGGCAGAACAGAGGCGGTGAATTTGTCTGTGGAGTTACCTCCCTAAGCAAATGAGTTGGAGGTCTCTGAGGGAACTGGCTTCCATCTATCGTTTCTATGTATTTTAAAAGGGAAATTGATGATGGGTGGACTGGGCACTCTCTCATCCCTGGAGACAAAGCTCAAGTAATATTATTCTAGCATTTTGCTCTCAGATTTTCCTATCTAGAAGCGTTCAAGACCTTTTGGCTTTGGTTTGATTTTCTAACCTTATACCTATCACACTTTTTTTTTTTTTTTTACTGATGAAACTCCTCTTTCAAGTCATAGCTAACACAGAATCATAATACATGAAACAAAAAACCTCAGAATTTTGTTAGCATGTGTTCATTTTATAATTTCACATTTATGACATTTTACTTTGCATATTGTCAATAATCGAGAACAATAAGGCGACTTTTATGAATACGAGAAACCATGAAATCAGGGTGTCCTGGACGACAAATGTTATCACTTCGGTTAAACAGAATTAAAACACTGTAACTTAGGAAGAAATGATCACAAATGGAGCCTTTTTAAAAAAACGCTTTTCTTACAATTTCAGGATACTTTTCAGTTAAAGTTATTCACAAGTCAGAACAAATAATTTATTGTTTCAAAGTCCCATCACTAACAATAGTCAACAATGGCTGGAATACTGATCACAAAGATAACAGACAGCAAGCACTCAAATGTGGCCAGGGGAGTTAAGACGGTTTCTAATGCAATGTCGTCACAACTTGACTGACAGATTCACTTACTTGTTACCGCACAGATCATTTACTTGTTACTTTTAGGACAATAAAGAGAGCATGCACTGAACAGGAAGTATCATAAAAATCATGGGTCTTAATGTATTAAAGTCTTTCTGTGTTCCAGACATCATGCTAAGTGATTCAAAGGCATTACATCATTTGAGCCTAACGAAAACCCTACTCTATTATTTTCCCATTTTCCTGATGAGAAAACGATGCTTAGAGAAGCCAAAAAACTGTTCATTGTATACAAAAAGCTACCATGATGCTGTATGTCAGCTAGCATTTAACAGAATGATGCTCATTTATGCTCTACTAGCACACACGACGTCAGAGGACATGCATGGATGTGACTTAACCACCTGTTACGTGCCATCACTTCCTTAATCTATGAACACTTAAGAGAAGTCCAGATATGTGCTCAGATGTCACCAGGGAACCTTACTGCCAAGGTCTGCACAAAATGTGTCCATCTGGAAACATAAGTGAGTCTGTGAGTGAGTACCAATGTGTGAACTTTTGGCTATCAACACACTTGAGTCTACCTGCTTTCTAGTAGAGATTTGAAGAGTTTAAAATACTATTAAAGGTGGACATGCTGAAAAATCTCTACAGATCTGTAGAGAACAACTTGAAAGCCACCATCACAGTGGACAGAGGGTTAGCAAGAGTCGGAGAGTTCCAGACTTCTGCCTTGGCTCTGCCACTTGATAGCATTTTGATATTAAGGACCCCACTTAACCCATCTGAGCTTAACCCAAAAGAGCAAAATTATACTGTATTGGGGTTGCCGGGCACGTTAAATGAGATGTGAGTAAAACACCTGGCACATAATAGACCCTCAATAAATATAGGCTCCTTTCCTCTCCTCTTTCCCCTTTGTTGCCCCTAAACATCTTTTCTAACCAGAAGGTCTGCTCACTGAATCCAAACAGGGCCTGCACATCCTCCCTCGCAGGCAGCCTTCCTGTAAGGTCTACCCTTTCTCAAAGGGATCTCTCACACTGTAGCTCCATCTCTTGAAGGCAGGGATTAGGCTGAGTCATCTGTGTCTTTTTTTAAAAAATATTTTTAAATCTTTATTTATTGAGAGAGAGAGAGAGAGCAGGGGAGGAAAGAGAGAGAGAGGGAGACACAGAATCCAAAGCAGGCTCCAGGCTACGAGCTATCAGCACAGTCTGTTGCGGGGCTCGAACTCACAAACTGCAAGATCATAACCTGAACTGAAGTTGGACGCCTAACCTACTGAGCCACCCAGGCACCTCGAGTCATCTGTGTCTTGAGGGCCTAAAACAGTACTTGGAATCGGCCATCTGACATGTAGCAGAGAAGTGGAGGAGGGCTTCCCAAGTAAAGATAAAAAAAGAAACACAGTAGCAGAAGTGGCTGTACTCACTTGGTAGTGGCACTTCCACAAGTGTTGTGACTTACACACAGGATTACCTAGCTTCTCACATGCTGAGGCCAATCCTCAGTGAGCCGGTAAGCTCGCTCTGGGAGCATAGCCCATGCTCATAGGTTTATGATTCTTACTTCCTTGCCCAGTGCCTCACACCGCTAGGACCTCAGAGGACATGTGCTGATTTCAGAAAGTCAAAGAGCTTAGATGTTAAATAGATTAAAAAAGATATTCTTTTCCTTACATCATTTCTTTCTTTTATGGTATGAGTAAGTGACTTTGGTCTATTTGGGAAACGTGAACTGTTGCGGATTCCGTCAGGCTTCCTATTTCTCACTTGGCATTGAATCCCTTGTTTATGAATAATCTATGTAGGGGCCAAGAAACTCTCGGTATTTTTTCTTAGAAGAATCAAGACCTGCCTCTAACGCCTTGGACAAAAGTAGCCACACGGTCTTAGCGGGGTACAGCAAACCTCCCCGGGTGCACTGGCTGGGAAACCCCTGTGAGACGGTTTTTAGTCATCTGCCTCGTTATCCCAGAGGCCATAACCATCCCCTTCATCTGGCTCTTCAATATTCTCATTTTCAAAAGAGGCCTCTTCCTCCTCTTCCTCCCGGATTACCTTCATTAACTCAAGGAAGCTGGGAGGCGGGCCCTGATCCTTCAGCTCCCTCAGCCTGCACCAAAGGACCTCGCTAAGGCTGGCCCCGGCCATGACCTGCTCCAGGCGGACCTGATCTGCTATATTCCTGGGGATGGCGCGTTTCTCCACCGCTCGCCGGAGCAGGGTTTCTAACCGCAACACATAGGCTGAGACCTTCTCTCCCTCCTCCTGATAGGTCTTCAGGTACTTCACCTGGGAGGTCCTGCGGCTCTCCAGGCTTCCGAACACTTGCTTAAATGCCTCCAAACACTCTTCCACGCTTATGGCCGCGTTGTCTGCCTGCACTATATGCATGAGGTCCAGGGCGGGGCCACGCAGGCTTTCCATCAGCCACCTTTTCTTTTCTGCCTCTGCTACTGGCCACTCTTTGACTATCTCTGTGGCCTGTTCCAACCAGATTTCAAAGGGCTCTTCCTCGGGGGCAGGCGCGGCACTCCCAGAGAACACTCTCAGTTTCCGGTACCTCATGGGGAGCAGGGGCTGAGGGGCGTGAGCTATCGCCTGTCCCAACAAGTGAGCCAGTAACTCTGGGGACATGCAGGGCACCGTGGCTGGAGACAGTCCCTCGTGCCCAAGGGCTCGGAACATACCAGAGACGGTTTGTCCCTCCTTTTCCAGAAAGAGGTTCAGTCGTTCCAGAAATTCAGTGTCCTGGTTGGGGGTCTTAAAGATCACTTTCCAGATACCCCCCTTTCCCTGAACCTCACTGGGGATCACCGAGACATCAATATCCTCCATAAGCTCTAGTAAGACGGCATTGGCATTGTCCTGCTTCCTGAATATTTTGCCGAGCAGTCTATACCTGCCCAGAGACTTTAAGGTCTCCTGGAGAACCCCCTGAATCTCAGCCTCATTGCAGTCCACTGGTATCCCCAGGACCATCAGTGATTTCTGATCATCCACGCTCATTATCCTGCACCAGTCCTCTAACAGTGCCAGCGCCATTGTCCGAGTATTTGCTCGAACGCTATGGGTACCAAGTAGTTTGTGGTGTGGATAGGCACTGCCTATCAGGACTCGGAATATCCTGGCTGAGCTGTTGAACTTCTACCCCACCAGTGAATGGTCCCAGGCCACTCCAACAGCAGCCCCAAATTCTTCTGGATCAATCACCTTTTCTTGCCCAAGGGCAAGAACTCAGCACTTCCAGTTACGTCTCTATACCTGACCCCAGATGGGTGGTTAAGACTCCTTTATGACAGTCTGGTGGCCGCTGATGCTTTCCCCGATGCTAGCAGCCACGTGGTGGCGTTGACCTATCTCCGGCTGCCCGAGGCACCTGCAAGAGCTGCTTTTGTGACTCTCCCAGTCTCTGCCACCTCGCCTCACCTCTTCTCTTGCTAGTCAGCGGGGTAAGACCTCCACTCTGGCACCCAGAACTCCCGGAGAGAAGTGTCACGGCAGGCTGGCTTGGACTCCTAGCGAAACAATAGGCAGTTTTACCACACAGCCCTCTCTTTCCAAGGAAGCACTGCGCTTTGGTTCAGGACAGAAGTGGGGGGGTGATCACGTGTTCTATCTCACATTGGATTTGCATCTGTCCCACTCTGTCAGACCTCTTCTTTGCTTAGAATTCTCTTTGGGCCCCTCCCACGATCTGGCTTCCCCACCATTTGCTCATCAGACATACCAATTAACATCTGAGCCCCAGGTGCGGATGGACAGGACTCAAGAGTTTCCCCATGTGAAAAATGAAATCAGATGTGAACAAATACCTGTTCTTGTGTTCCAATTGTTGTGAGAGTCACCAGCTTATTTATTCAGCTTCTAGAAAGGAAAGATGTCACCCAGCTCCAGGCAATGGATGTGTCTGGGTCTTTCTTAGCTCCAGCCAAGCCAGGCTGCCCTGTTACACATAAATAATAATAGTATATATTTATGGCTTGATAATATCCAGTGATGATGACTGTTAAAAATTATTTCAAAATACGACACTCCCTTATAATTTAATTAAATCTACTAAACAATATTGAGTTGGTGTATTATTTTGATTTAAAATCTATTTAAAATCCCATTAGAAATCACTCAAACACTTAAAACCAATTTAACATAGGTATAATAATATAACTTATTTACTATACTTTAACATAATATAATAATACAGGTATAACAATTAGGTCTAACAATCTAAAAAGAAAATCTCAGGATCAAATAAGTTAAGCCTGGAATTATGAATTGTCTTTTGTTAGGTCTGGGCAGGCTTTGCAAATACACGAGGTGTTTCTTTTGCTATGAATGTTAAAAATGTTTCATTGCATTTAAACTTGAATGAGTCACTTGAGTAAGAAGTTAAAGAGGAAGCACATCTGTGGAGAGTGGTGGAGACCAGCCTCCCCGTTACTGCCATGGGGCATGTGTTAAGGGGCTACAAATATGCTTCTGTTGGTCTGAAAAATCCCCATCAGTCCAAATGGGGTCCATATGTCACAGATGCCATCCCACAGCTTTAGTGGCAGCTGCTCCTGCTGCAGGCACATTTTCTGAGACCTTCTGGAAGGTGCCAAAATCATGGCTCATGCCAGAGGGCCAGGAGGGCAAGTGTTGGATTCCACTTTCAGCCAGCAGCCCCAGGGATCTGAGCCCAGTGGCTTCTCCATGCCACACCTTCCCTTCTAAGATATGGGGGTAACTTTCCTCCTGTTTTAATATTTAGAGGAAACGTGAGATGTAAAAAGGCAGGAAGAAACATCTCCAAGGTCTACATAATAAAGGCCATGCTGAGGTTAGGCTACCTTTGAGTGGCTTCTTCTTCCAAAAGCAATCTTTACCTGCAACAGAAATAACTGGACATGAAAAACAAAACACGTAAAACTCTTGTATTTTCTCATGTAAAGACGGGATAAGTTGGAAAAGGAATCAGCTCTTTGGCTGTAATTTTTGAATCATTTAGATAGTGACCTTGGTCAAAGCGCCCCAATCGCTCTAAATCTGTTTCCTGCTCCGGAAATCGGTCACGATAATGCACTCATCTCAAGGGGCTGCTCTGGGTAGGCAATGATGTCATTCTTGTGTTAGCAGTTTATTCAAATGCGAAGCACATCTGGTGCAAAGTCCAAATGCTCGCCTCTGGTTCTCGCAGCCCCTCCACACATACATTCCTCTCCTTCAGTCTCCAGTTCTCAGCTGGGACCTCCTTCCCACCTGCCATGATGGGCTCATCTTCTGTGTGATTGTCCTCCAAATTTAACTCCATTCATCAAACTACCTCTCACAATTTGGGGGCAGGATATCCGAACTATATCCTGCCAGGGGCAAGGGCTGATCATGAGAATGGATCCCTGCTCTGAGCGATGGTCTTGCAGTAAAAACAGCTTCTCCTAGCCCAAACCCACCCTGGTAACTGAGCATGCCCAGATTTCCCTATCCAGACGGCAAAGGCTGGGCATCATTCCTGCAGGATTTTGCCACTGTGGAAAGAGGGGCGGGGCTCTGGTAATCGACCAGAGGCAGGGATTGGTATGTGGAAAGGACGTGGGGGCAGGAATAAGCAATAAAAGACTCTCAGAGGCCGTGTTACCGGCATAAATCAAAATGTCCCTTATCTGCCACCAACCCAGTAGCTGTGGATGGTTTAGCCTCATATACATACCAAGTCCCACACACATTTCCCGGCGTGGCCTCGCACACTTCAAGGCATAATTACAGACAGCACCCTACCTCCTACCCCACCACTGAATTCTCGTGCCCGCAGTATACGACCCAGGCACTTGGCATCTGGCAACCTGGGAAACCCCGCGGCTGTGGCGCAGTGCGCAACGAAGGGGGCATCTAGGAGGGGCGCCCAGGGCGCCCAGAAGGTCTGGGGATTTGAGGGAGTGGACTTCGATCTTCGTATTACTCCCCCACCCCTTTTTTTTTTGGCGGGGAAGGCGGGGCAGAAAATACCAAATCAAGACTCTCCTGGCCCTTCTTGCTGCAGTGGCGCAGTTAAGGTACATGACATATTCGGGCAATAGAGCAGGTCTCTTACCCTTTATTATTACGAGTTGCCTTTCGGTGCAGGAATTTGCAGAATGCACTTTTTGCCACCCTCACGGACCACACACCTAAGTGTTTATTCCCCCTCCCCTTTGCTACACCCCTCTGCATTTCTCCCCGTCTGCTAGCGCCCCCAACCACTGTGGGTGCTGTGAGAACCTTCTCATTTCAATCTCTGCTCCCAGTAGCCCACCACAAGACCGGTGAGTGAACAAGGTTTGGTGCCCCCTATCTCGTAAGGCCTCCACCTGTCCAAACGGTCTGCGCCATCCCTTCCTCATCGTCAGTGCTGCCCTTTCCCTCCTCCCGGGTGTCCAAGCTTCAGCCGGTTCGTCCCTCTTTCTCCATCCATCAGCTCACACCCTGGCTGAGGGGATGGGAGTACTCCCTCCGGTGGGCCCTCGCACCTGGCCCACCTCTGCAATGCGGTGGGGGAGAGGCTCCTGTGCCAGGCAGGTGGGGGAGACGGGCCTGGAGTCCAGGGGCCGCGCCCTCCAGCCTTCGCCCCTGAGTGCCCTGCCCCATACTTACCCTGGCGCAGAGAGCGGTCAGCCAGCCCTCGGCTCCGCAGCCATTAGCGGGTGGTCTGGCCGCTTCACTTCCGGAGCGCGGGGCTCTAGGCGGCGGAGCCCTCCCCTCACTACCCCGCGCTCCGCTCCCCTCCCCTGCGCCGCGCCCCGCCCCCGCCCCGCCCGCGCCTCCCTCCTCCCGCCGCTGCCGGGAACTGGCAGTCTCTCTGCTCCCGCTGCCGCAGCGGCCGCCTTTCCAGACCCAACTTTGCTGGTCGCTGGAGCTGGAGCGGCGGCGGGGGGCGTGGGCTGGGAGGGGAGAAAGCGGGGTCAGAGGGAGGGACCGGGAGGGGTGGGTCGCTCGCTTGCCAGCCCTCCTTCCTTTCTGTACACCTTGCGGTAGGCAGAGAGAGGCAGCCGCGGCGGCAGCCAAGGGGTTTGTGCACAGAGGCCGATTTAGGGACCAGCAGACGGACGGACGGACGGTGAGAACCCTCCCCGAGCTCCCGCGCCATGGCCGAGAGGAAGCAATCCGGGAAGGCGGCAGAGGACGAAGAAGTCCCTGCCTTTTTTAAAAACCTGGGCTCAGGCAGCCCCAAGCCCCGGCAGAAATTCTGTGGCATGTTCTGCCCCGTGGAAGGGTCCTCCGAGAACAAGACCATCGATTTCGACTCATTGTCTGTGGGCCGGGGCTCGGGGCAGGTGGTGGCTCAGCAGCGGGACGTCGCCCACTTGGGCCCGGACCCGCAGCCGCCGTACTCCCGGCAGGGCCGGCGCGCCGGCGGGGAGCCATCTGTTGAATCGAGCCGGAAGGTGGAGATCCGGCGGGCCTCGGGCAAGGAAGCCCTGCAGAACATCTACGACCAGGTTGGTATGGGGGTGGGGGGTGTTGCAGACGCAGGACCAGACGCGGAGATCGCCCCTCCTTAGCTCCCTTTCCAGCTCGCTGGAGAACCGAGGATCCCAGCGTGCCCACCGTCCTGCCTCGTTGGAATATTACATCCTTGAATCTGTACATGCACCCCGCCCTATTTGCCCCTTGTCGGTGCAGGGTGCAGGGTGCAGGGTGACGAGAGGCTTGGTCTCGGCGGTAGGCGGCTGTGCGCCCACAAAGGCTGCCCGCACCTCCTGGGCCTGGGAGGTGGGGGGCGGGAGTAAAATATGAACCGATCCCGGGTTGGGGGTCGCATGACAGTGGGGGGAGGGAGGGATGAACCGATTCCATTCTTCTTAAATCCTTCCGGGCGGCTTCCGATTGCAGTTGTAGCTGGGTGCCCCACCCTTTTTTTGATGCATCTCGAAGCGTGCAGTGGAGGGTTCGCGTGCAGGCCCGAAGGCTCCCCGGGGTTCGGGAGGGGCGGGGGCTTCGACAGCCTCTCCCCGCCTCGCCCTGCTCTCGTACCGTCTCTTCTCCGGCGCCCTCAGTGCTCCAGTCGCGAGCTCGGAGGCCAGGACCATGGTCAGCGCCTCCACGGACCGCCTGGGAGGATCTCACCGCCCTGACTTCTGCTCGCTGCGCGAAAAGGGGGAGGCTGTGGAGTCACCCAAGGAAACGGAGACGCTCCTAAATAGCCCATGTGGAGAACAAAGTTCCGCTAAGTATCTCAGCAAGGGCTTCCCAGAGCGCTACCCTCCACCCCCGCCACTATTTGGGAGGTGCTTTGGGGATGGAGACTTAGTGGATTATGTTCAAAGGGTGAAAGGAAAAAGAAAAGGGAAAAATCCCTCACAGTTTGAATAGATTGCCAAAGATGGGTTAGATCCCCTATACCGTGTTAATGAAGAAACAAAGAAAACCAATTTGGCAAAAAATAGAAAATATTTGTTATCTCTGGCAATTATGAACAGTGTGCATTTTAAGTACTGTAGTCTCACACCACATTTTTTTTCTTTATAAGGGTGACCTTCATACTTGTACATTTCTCCCCACATACTTAATTTCTCAAGCGATAAATTACAGTGTGAAATGTCTTTAACACTTCTTTGCTGTTTCTCTCCCATGCCCACTCGTGAAGATGAGAAATCAGTCAGTGTTTGATTATTGAATACCTATATTGTGTGCCTTGCCTTTTGGGCAGGGAGAATGTTAGCTATAAAAAGTTCAAGGTGATTTCTTCTTAAAAGGCTTTCAGAGCCATTGGGAGTGGTCTATACATATTCACTGAGTGATTCCACAAGCATTTATTTGATATTCAGGTTGTGTGCTTACAGTGAATGCATGGAAAACAATTAAGAGTTGGTGATAATGGCCAGAACATGTTGCCATTTCTTGACTTAGCAATAGTTTTGATGCTTTTGACTTTTATAGGAAAGATAAACCATTTACTGTCATTTTCAAAAGGTGGGGTAATTAATTACTTGATATGATTCCTCTTCCTCCAGCTCTGTCCTCTGATTTATTCATATAGGGGGTACCTCATATCCATATTTCATTATAAGTCAACTTGAAGAACTTAATCCAAAAAACTCACTTGAATCCCAGTGAACAGGCAGTTGAAGCAAAAGTTTCAAATAATGTAACTTATAATGAAAGGTGAGTGAGTGTGAAGTTCTTTTCCATGTGAATACATTGGATGAGCGCCAAACCATGATCATAATGCCATCATGGTTGTGTGAGTATCCTCATCTTCAACACGTTGTGCTGGTAATTCTAATGTCCTAAAGGGATCAGAAAAATTCCTTGAGATTAGAGAGTATTTAAAAAGTGGCAGATCAGGGGGCAGAGGTTGAGAATGGCCATCCTTATAATGGTGGCAGTGAATTAAAACTCAAGTCTGAAAGGCAAAGTTTCACTGGATTGAATGACACATCCCTTTTCTTGTCCACTTGGAACCCTAGATGTTTGATCATGAGCTTCTTGTTTGAACGCTCCCTGATTTTATGTTATTTTATTTATTTTTGAGAGAGAATTGGGGGGAGGGACAGACAGAGAAGGAGTCACATAATCTGAAGCAGGCTCTATCTAGGCTCTGAGTTGTCAGCACAGAGCCCAACATGGGGCTTGAACTCACGAACCATGAGATCATGACCTGAACCGAAGTTGGACACTCAACCGACTCAGCCATGTAGGTTCCCCAAACACTTCCTGATTTTAATAGAAATTCAAAATTGTAAACCTATCGTGCATGAAGGAGGAGATTCAAGGAGGACATACCCAATCAAAACCTCAGCCACTTTTGGCCTCTGCAAACCCACATTTGCTTTAGTTGCTCAGTTATTAGCAACAGAGGGTGATTCTGGCTTGTTTTTTTCTGTAGCTTTCCCTGAATTTTCATTCAGTCTTTCCTTACCACACAAGGGCTGTTTCTAGGGGACTGTTTTCACTCATGACTAAGAGCACTTACGAAGATCAGTACTAACAGTGGTTGAATATTTCATGTCTATATAAGAGAGACAGGTATGTGTGTGTGTGTGTGTGTGCACGAGCGCGTGCACATATGTATGTTAATGGTGATTTTCAAAAGCACAACTGGGCCCACGATTTTGGTTGACTTGAGTAGCCATCACTTAATTTTCAGCTAATGAGGAAACGTGACTGCCAGGATCTCCGTGCATTCCTGTCTGAAGCCCTGGCACAGAGAAAGGAGGAGAGTGAGTAGACCCCCCAGGACCTCTGACTTGGACCCACCCTCTCCCCCTGAACCTGTATTTATAGTTATTGTTAATGTATGGCTGAAGTGGCTTTGTCCACCTGTCACACTAGGGTGACTGTTGTCCCCTAGCAAGACTTTGGCTGCCTCCACCCAGATGCCATGTGGCTTGTAGGAGATGCATGCATTTGCATTTATAGGTGCTAGCAGGTAAGCACCAGAAAGCAATGGGTGTGGCTTTGGCTGAGATGTTAGGCTTTGGTGAAGGGTAGTAGCCGGTGTAGTGAATACAAATGAGGAAAGTTACCTCTTTACTCTCTTTTCCTTTGTGTCCTTGGCGAGGTCCACTCTGGGCTCCAGTGAGGTTATATTGATTAACTTCATAAGGACTTGAACCTCTTGGAAGAGAGAACAGAAGGGCAGTACTATTGGCCTAATTCCTCCTTGCAAGTGCCCAAGGGTACCTCAGTCTCCTCCCTTCCTCTTGGGAATCCCTTCTATCCCACCGCAGACAAAGTTTAACCAGGGATGCTGGATTGTGAACCTCCCTTCCAAAGGAGCTCCCAGGCCCTTATTCCTGCAGCAAACCCATGTGGACTAGAGTGGTGGGGGAGTGATTCTCCATTTCTCCATGGCAGGTGCCAGTGAATGAACTATGTAAGAGTTCTGCTGAACTTGACAAAATTCCCAAGTCTGTGAAATGCTTTTTGATATACCCTCTCATTGTGTGTCCCTCTATCTCCTCTCGCCATGTTGATTAGCTTCAAGCCCTGGGTGCCCTCTGCTGCCCTCATACTGTTCAATGTTGTTGTTCCCCCGTCCTGATGGTGATACCCATTCTAGATCTTTCTTCCTCCAACCAGCCAGTTCTGAAATCACTCTTCTCCTTTGCCCTCTCTTCTCTCATTCAAAACCCTTCCTTGTGTTTATCTTGGAGAGAAATCTCCATGATTGAAGGCTTCCACCTGTTATGTGAATGACTGATACATAAGTTTTCCCCAGAGAGACTTGTTTGATAATAGACTAGCCCATTCAACAAAATGAACATCTAGTTAGCCAAATATATGTTGGAGATTTGGCTGAAAGCCAAGAACAAGGGCATTCATTGGTACTTTAGAGGTCACATTGTGTCAAAAGAGGAGACACAAGTATGAATATTTGTTCAAGGTTCCAAAAGCCCAAGACCCATCTGGGATTAAAAGGAAGAAGGGTGATTGGGGAGGAGAAGGAAATGGTAATAATTCACAATTATTGGTTACCCTTGATTTCCCAAGTGATTATTGAACTAATCATGTAACTAAATTAATAATCAGTTACTAATTAAACTAAAAAATTAATTGCGGGTGTGCTTGGGTGGCTTCGTTGGTGAAGCATCTGACTCTTGATCTCAGCATCATGAGTTCAAGTCCTGCATTGAGCTACATATGGATGTGGAGCCTACATAAAATAAAATAAAATAAAATAAAATAAAATAAAATAAAATGTGATGAAATACACATAACATTAAATTCATCTTAATCATTTTTAAATATACAATTCAACAGTATAAGTATACTCATGTTTTGTGCAACCAGTCTTCAGAACTTTTCATCTTGCAAAACTGAAACTCTGTGCCCATTAAACAATAACTTCCCATTCCCCCAGCCCCCAACCCCTGACAACCTCCATTTTACTTTCTGTCTCTATAAATTTGACAATTCTAGATAGCTCATATAAGTGGAATCATATAGTTTTGTCTTCTTGTGACTGGCTTCTTTCATTTGTCCTCAAGTTTAAACCATGTTATAGCATGTGACAGGATTCTTTTTTAAAGGCTGAATAATATTCCTTAATATTCTCATTAAATTTTAATGAGACATTGATGATTGAAAAGTTGTTGCTCAATTAATAGATCTGCAATGAATTAATTGTGGAAGGAAGCAAGAAAGGTTACATTGAAGATGAGATAGACTACTCCAGTGTGGAGTCCACTACCTGAATAAAACTACCACCAGCTAAACAACCTCTACCATCTGTCTCCCTTGCAGCTCAAGGGTGGAGAGGAAAATTCTGTCATTGAACCTCCAGTGACAACATCTGGTTGAGTGTTGCATGGTTCATAAACTTATGGGCCGTGGAAATCAGGAATGGGCTGGGCATTTTCCTACCCTTAGTAAAGATGGGCCAGTTTTTCTTGTGGGTCCTTTGGTGCTAGTGTTCCTCTCTTCTTCCCTGAGAAGAAGGGAGAATTGGAATTGATCATGGATATCAGGGCATCTGGGTGGCTCAGTTGATTAAGTGTCCGACTTCAGCTCAGGTCATGATCTCACAGTTCGTGAGTTTGAGCCCCACAGAGTCTGGAGCTTGCTTTGGATTCTGTGTCTCCCTTTCTCTCCCTCCTCCTCCTCTGCTTGCGCTCAGTCTCTCTCTCTCAAAATAAATAAGCATTTAAAACATTTAAAAGAATTGATCATGAATTTGAATGTACACTGCCATTGAATGTCAGAGCTTGAGAGAGACTTAATGTAATCACTTTGTTCTAGCAGTGGAGAAAGCGATGCCCAGAGAAATCGTGGCTCATCCCACAGA